ATCTCTTTCCCTTTATCCTATATTCAACTCTTTCTCACGAGCAGTTAACTCCTTCATCAAGTCTTCCGTATTGGTTGCTCGGATTTCTTTCCCTACCTGTTTTAGTCCAGCAAAGGTTTGAATAGTAGGAGTACCGCTAATGAGTTGATATTCCACCAAAGATCTTGATGGGAGATCTTTTGTATCTACACTATACCAGACAATCCGGCGTTTTTCCGCCTTACACAACTCAGAGGCTTGTTTATACATTTCCGCAAATGAGAGACATGGAATACAGGCATGTTTCCAAAACTTAACAACCATTAGATCATTCTTATGTTCCTGTAGTTTTTGTAGGAATTCATCTTCACTTTTAATGGCGGGAAGTTTATTGGCTTCTAGAAATCCACCTTCTTCAAACTCGCGAATCCATTTGGGGAAATTTTCCTGCATGAATCGTTCATAATCACTACCGGTGAGGTTCTCAGGTAATTTACGATCACCAAAAATACGACGAACAATACTGAGAGACATCGCGTTAAAACAAAGACTGAGTGAAAAATAAAAATAATATTTATATAAATAATAAACAAACAATCAAATAAATAAAAAAAAAAAAAAAGATCGTTCCTAATAGCAAAATCGAAAAAAAAAGAAGAAAAAATAAAAATAATATTAAATTAATTAAGAAAACAGATATACAGTATATTATGTTTAAAGAGAGAATACAAATAGGGGGTTTTTTCTCTCTCTCTCTCTCTCTCTCACTCTCTCTCTACAAGAATAAACAATATAATAATCATGTAAATCGATAAACATAAGCAGAGAAAGAAAAAATAATACAAAAAAATATATCAAAAATAATATATAAAATAACCTGAAAATGTCTTTTTTTATTATTTCACCCTTGTAATGATATATCGCATAAATTTCGATATTTCCAACAACAACATCAACAACATTTCATTCTTCTTCACATTCACTCTGTCAGTCCTTTTGGCCAATGTCCATAATACCGCAAGTGTCTTAACTTCCACCACAACTCACTGTGAAAGTGTGGATCTGTAAAGTCTGTTTCTCGCAATTCCGCCCGTGTGTTGGAGAGCCGTGATTGCCCTGGAGACATCATCGTTACCGTTAAATCAAGTCCCTCATGTTCTGGATGACGATCAGAGAAACGTTTTAATCGAAGCCAAGGATCTTGTCTATCAAACTCTTCATCTGTTTTCCCATATACATTTACATCCCAGAAGGGTTTATTGTTTTTAATACTATGAAATGCACGTACCATTAACCAGAGTATCACTAAAAAAGGTATTCCATACATTCCCATAACGTGATTAAATAACTTATCTGGACTCTCTTTCCAGTGAGAGAAGAGACGTCTATGCCATTGACGACGATCTTTACGTGTTAATTTCTTTGTTGCCTCCATACGATTTATATAATAAACAGCATCATGAAAACTGGGTGGATCATTTCCTGCTGTCGGCATTACATCAGAGGGAATAATAATACCACCATACTCATCAATTTCATTCAATGAGTACGTTTCAAAGTTAGTAACATTCTTTAAATGATCTAATCCTGCGGCTCGCCAACGGACAACTTCTCCACCCTCAAGCACTCGTTGAAGGTAAAACTTATTATCACGTGTTCGGATAAGTGAGAGTTCTGTTTCTGTATTATTACGTACAGGCCGTCCATACGAATCGAGATAAATAAGTGTGGTCACAGCAGGACGAGGGGCAATTACAGTGCGAATACCACGACTTTGTGAAAAAATGACTCTGCTGATCATTTCAGATGTCCCTCCACTACCATTACTATTACTATTACAACAAGAACAACAAATACTACTACCACTAGTATTGCTACTATTATTGTGAATAGATACAATAGTAGTCATTAGCGATAGTCGCAGGGTAGAGTTTCGGAGGGTAATAGATTTCCCACTAGAAAATGTTCGCATTACCATTCTCTACAAATGAAGGGGTAAAAATTTTATTCCAGAAATTCCTTCTGTGGACTAAAAAGGGGGGAAATATATATATATATATATATATATATATATATATATATATATATAAAGAAGTAAAGCAAGAAAAGAAAAAAAAAAGAAGAGATAAAAAAATGATATTCAACCATGAAATAATATATATTATATTTGCTCTACACCACCTCAAATAGTAAAAAAAGAAAAAAAAATGATTGGTGAATGAAAAAAAAAGGAGAGCAGCTTATAGCTCGCCCTTTTTGATAATCTGAATACAGTACACGTATAAATAATAATAATAATAACGATCTAGTGTGAGTGCCTTTGAAAGAGATAGACAAATAGATAGTCAAATAAAGTAATCAAAATTGGGTAATACCCGTCTCCTGAAAAAGGAGAAAAAATAATACGGGAAGAGATAATCACCCCCCCCCCTCAAAAAGGAAAACAGGACTGTGACAATAGGCACACATTATAAATTTGTCTCAGACCCGCTTGTTCTACATCTACAGTTAATAATAATAATAATAGTATTAAGTAAGCTAGCACAAAGATATTCTCAAGCGGTAAAAACAAAAACAAAAACAAAAAAAACAAAGTGTGGTACAAAAGTGATAAAAAAAAAGAAAAAAAAAAAAAAAAAAAACAAAAACGCACAAAATATTGCCCAATTAAAATATTTATCATAATCATAATCATCATTATCATCTTTTTTTTTTTTCTGTTAATATCATCCAGTCACCTCTGCTGCCTTTGAACATACACGAGGAGTGGGCGGACCTCTCGTCTTTGGCACCACAGGTTGAACACGAGGACGTGATCCACACTTCAGACGAGAGAGTGCCCGCCTTGAAGGTGTCTGCGGTGGCAAAGGCCGTCCTCTTTGCTGTCGTGATTGTTGAAAGAACTTTGTAGATAATTCTAGTTTGGGCACTTCCGAGTGGGTTGGTGGTTCGGATCTTTTTATTTCCTCCATAGGCTCCATACTCTTCGTGCTGCTTTTTTCTACATATGTTGAAATGATATCTTTTCTAGTAGTCTCAGTAGTCTTTACTTTATCATTGGATGGTTCCTCCTTTGGTAGTGAATGGTGCTCTACAACAGGGATTACAATCCATTTTCCCACACAATCACTCTTCTTTACATTTGTTGATGGTGATGATGATGATGATGATTGTGATTGTGATTGTGGTTGTGAAGGAGCTGTGATAGGTTTCCATGTATGTAAAGTAGGATGATAATATTCATTGTAGCGTTGATTCACTTCTTTATCATATCGTGCACGATAGGCCTCCGTATCTTTCTCTGTTGCTGCTGCTGCTGCTGCTGTTGTTGTTTCTATTATTGGAGAAGGAACATCGTCAAAAATGTTTACAAGCACTGAAGATGATGGTGTGGCTGGAGAACCACAAGGTGTGGAATGTAAAGATTCCCCAACACTCCAATCCAAACAATCCTCATCTTGTTTTGCAAGTTTTTCACGTAACTTTGTCATATCCACAGGTACAGCTTTTCTTGTTATCACTCTGGTTCCAAGATCTGGAAATGGATTAACATGATGAGATATCATACATTTATTAGGTCGTGGTGGTGGTGACGAACGTGGGTGAAAAATATCTTCCATCTTACTGGAAGCATTACCACCACTTGTCTGTTTCCCTTCACCACTACCATAAGTCTCTTGAGACTTCACCACTCTTATATTGCCTGATCTAGCAGTTTCTCTTGTTGATACCAAAGAAAAATTAGAAGAAGTTCTTTTATTATTATTATTATTATTATTATTATTATTATTATTATTATTATTATTATTATTACATACACCGTTGGTATTCTCTTTTTTTATATTGTTCATACACCTTCCAGGACCTGCCAAGTGTGTGGAAACTCCAAAATCCTTTGAAATCACTTTCACTTCATCATTTTGACGATTACGTGCAGGAGAAATCTTTGATAATGGAAACAAATGACGTTTAACATCAGTATTAACTTCATTATCATTCCAAACAGCTGTACATTCAACATCATTCACACTTCCTCTACTACTAGTCCCAAAATTAGCTGCTGCTCCTGCTATTGCAGAAATAGAACAACTTTTACTTGGTCCTTGAATAGAAGATTTTGATGTATTACTGTGACGATGTACCTGTTCCTTCCCAACATCTACTGGGGATAATACTATGGATGTAGTTGTCGGTCTCTTCTGTTCATTACTGCAACTACTACTCTTATCAGAAGATTTCGAAGGTTCATCATGTGCCGAAAATGGAACCAACCACACCGGAGATTGTAGAGATTCTTTACATTCCTCAAGCAATTGTTCCCCAAGACGAATGTGAAAGGCACTAGAGAAGCGTAAAAGCAAAACCGAATTAAAAACTGTCCAATTAACAGTGTTGTGCTCAGTGGATGGCCGCATGACATCATAATCATAACCTATATCAAGTATTGCATTCACTTCTTCTTCTTCTCCCCCTTTCTCTTTCTCTTCTTTTTCTTTCTTCACCTTCTCTTCTTTTACTTCTTCTCTCAATCCAGCAAAATCAATAGAAGTATCTGTACACTCAAAGAGCAATGCAGACGAGTGCAGAGCCTCTTCCCACATTTCTTCTTTAAACTTATCTGATTCCATTCGTTTTTGAGCTTCGAGAAGTGTCATCTCATCTTCTTTAGGGAAAAATCGATGTAAAACGTCATTTGTTGAAAGTGATGACATAATCGCACGGTAACCACTTTCACTTAGACGACGTGTTGGGAAAGATCCCTTTCGATTACCACTATTACTGGGAACATATGAGTAAGAATTGAAAAGAGACCAAAGGAGCTCTCTAAAACCACTGATATCGTTTTGCATATTGTAACCTCTTTTTTTTTTCTTCTTCTTCTTTTGAGTTTATTGTAGATGAGAGGACCCAAGAAAAAGTTATATTCACACTTAATTCTTGACAAACTAAAAACTTTTTCCTTGTGAATACCTTCAAAGAAAAAAAAAAGGTAATGTAATCTGCGGCAATTTTACTTCAAAATGCGGCGCCTTTTGATGTGGTTATTCGTAGCAGTCACACAGAGAGAGAAAAGAAAAAGGAAAAGGAAAAAAAAAACTGAGGCACAAAGAAAACAGAGAAAAACAAACAGAAAACAAAAAAAAAAAACAAAACAAGTAGAGTTACCGTTTGGTGTTTCTTTCGTTTTTTTTTTTCTTTTACTGTTGAAGCTTCCAACATTTTCAGCCTCTTCTTTCATTTCTTTTTTTTTTTGTTTGTTTGTTTCCCCTCCTATCCCTTCCTTCACGAGGTTAATATAGGGGCACATCTCTTCTCTTAGACGCGAGGAAAGAAATAAAAAAAAAAAAAAGAACAAAACTTTTGAGCGAGAGCTGCTGGTCGCTTTTAATCAGTGCATTACACACTGTAGGCTTCTGTGACGAGAAAAGGAAAAGAAAAGAAAAGGTACAATGTGTTTTTGCATCCTTCCCACTGACTACCATCATCATCATTATCATTGTTGAAGCATTTTTTTTTTTTTTTTTCCTCTTCCCTCTTCCCACTCCCACTCCTCCCTTTTCTCACGTTATTTGATGTGTCTGCCACCTTGCCCCACGAGACTTGTTCCTTGACAACATACCACCCACATTTGCCTTTAGGAACTTCAGTGGCAACACCGCCGCTCGCATGGAGATACCGAGTTTATCCATCTCTGACCACTGCACTGGAATAGGGTTAAGCCCAGCAGCAGCGATACTGTCCATAGACCTATCATACCCTTTTTGTACCAGTACATCTGTTGTGAAATCAACACCGTAAAAAGACAAGAAATGACATCCAGGTTCAAGATAAACGATATTCATCTCTGAATGAGGTTGTTTTTGTTGGTATTGATCTACCGCTAATAGACCATGTTCATCTTTCCACGTTAGAAGAACATTATTACCGGCGAAACCAAAATAATCTCCAAGTGGTGGCGCATCACCCTCTTGTTCCAATGTAAAAACATCAAAAGAGAACTGATCATCCTTAACTTCAAATAGTTCCTTTAATGTTGCGTGAGCCACAGCATTAGTACGAGGACCATGTCCTACAGCGATACCAGTAGGTAAACATACAATATCTCCACTATGACAGCGACAATTTTCTGTGTCTTGCAGATATGAGGCAAGTGTACTGGGACCACCTGCTCCTCGTACGTACCGCATTGACTCCATAAACTCTGTTGCTCGATGTTCCATTCCTGTTAGTGGCATTCCTAAAAATGTAGCCCCAATAGAAGCCATTTGATCCGCTACTCGAAGTGCCTCCACAGAAGGTCTCTCAGACATCAAATGTACTTTGTCAACTAAGGAAGAATGCTGCAAAGTTTTGTAAAAATCACGGAATTGATGAATAAGCATATCACGATTAATAACAATACCATTCGGACCTGCACTAGGAACGGATCTGTAATGGGGAGACCGAACAAAGGCGTGCAACGCCTTATTCCCTGACGTACGCCGCAGCATAATAAAATCAACTTCCTTTCCTGTACAAAATATCTACTCTTTTAGACCTTTTTTTTTTTCTCTTGTATTCCTGTACCCCTTAACGCTACAAATTTATGTATGTATGTATACGTTGCCGCCGAATTTTACGCAAATACAGTCTAACTGCTGGCAAATCCCTACGGTGGGGAGATCGCTGACTGGCGTGCTAACGGCGAATACGCACCACACACCAAGGGAAAAAAAAAGAAAATAAAAAAAAAAAAAAAAAACAGAGAGGAGAAAAAAAACAGAAATTATTTCAAATATATAAAAGAGCAAATAGAGTTTATTATTATTATTATTATTATTATTATTATTATTATTTATTTATTTATTTATTTTTCTTGGGGTGGGATTTTATACTGCAAGGAATTCCACGCACATCTGTTTTCCCTACATTCCCTTTCCAGACATAATCCGTCAAAATCACACGGAAATTCACTCTTCCCATCCCTTTCTAAGAAAAAAAAAAATCTACTCTATAGGTGGCGGGATCCCGCGGTAGCGCCTTGCGATATACCGGTGTACATCCAAATGCTCCCAATACACCCCGCGCCATGATTCATCCTTAGTTATCTCAGCTGATGGAGCCGGTTTCCACAAGTATTGATTCTTGAACGATTGCATAGATGGCCTCGCATGATGCTCCCCTTTACGTCGTTCCCAACCCTTTTTCACGCTTGGAGAGGACACCCCACGAACAGCTGGCACCACAACATGCTCTATCTTTTCATTATAATTAACTACAGAAGGCACTACAGGTATATATGTGGGTAGAGCATTAACCAACGGTAGTTGAGGTGTAATCCATGAAGTCGTCATTGCTGCTGTGGGTGCTGTTAGGAGAGCTGGTACCATGGGAATCGCTGTTGGCGCAGAATCTTTTGATGACACCACTTCAGTAGCCGAAAGAGGAACCAATGAAAGTGATGGTTGATAATAGCTGTTAGTTATCACTTGTGAGGATCCTGTTGGCTTCGGCACGCTTGCAGGCGGAGGAGGAGGAACTGATGAAAGCGGTGGTTGATAACTACTGCTTGTTGTCACATGTGAGGATCCTGTTGGCTTCGGCACGCTTGCAGGCGGAGGAGGAGGAACTGATGAAAGCGGTGGTTGATAACTACTGCTTGTTGTCACATGTGAGGATCCTGTTGGCTTCGGCACGCTTGCAGGCGGAGGAGGAGGAACTGATGAAAGCGGTGGTTGATAACTACTGCTTGTTGTCACATGTGAGGATCCTGTTGGCTTCGGCACGCTTGCAGGCGGAGGAGGAGGAACTGATGAAAGCGGTGGTTGATAACTACTGCTTGTTGTCACATGTGAGGATCCTGTTGGCTTCGGTACGCTTGCAGGTGGAGGAGGAGGAGGAACTACAGCTGATGGAGGAGGTGGCACCGATGCCATCAGCAAAGAAATAAACCCTGTAGTAACACAATTCCCAATATATCTACTTGCAGAGACCCCTTTTTTCTCTCAAAGAAGGAAAAACAAAGGAAATATCGATATTTTAATGAAGTAAAGCTATAAAAATCTTTTTAATACACAGCACAATTATACAGCAAGGGAAAGTAAAAATTAACGAATAATAAGACATAAGGGCACAAATCCAGGGTTCTATATGTTGTCTATGAAACTAATAACAATAAAAAAAATATTTTATAATGAAAGGCTACTTTGTATTCTCACCTTATTCCTTTAGTTTACGTGGTTCTATCTTGACTTCTGGAAGTCGTCGTTGCCGTAGCCTGCGTTTTTCAAGCGCGGGGGCCCGAAGACTGGGTTCAGCGCCGTAATAGCGACGTTCAATGTAGTGACCCACATTTTTATTTGTCCACTCTACCATTGCTCCAAAACCACCACTACCCGCAGCAGCGTTACGTGTCACCGCATCCAAAATAGCATTACTACTCTGCGCTGAGACCAAACTGAGACCATCACCAGTAGTTCCTATTGGTTGAATTCCCAAAGAATATGCTTGTGGGGTTACTGTACTCACACCTGTAGTGGTTCCTCCTGGTTGAGTTCCCAAAGAATATGCTTGTGGGGTTATTGTACTCACACCTGTAGTGGTTCCTCTTGGTTGAATTCCCAAAGAATATGCTTGTGGGGTTATTGTANTCCTGGTTGAGTCCCTGCAGAATACGGCTGTGGGGTTATTGTACTCACACCTGTAGTGGTTCCTCCTGGTTGAGTCCCTGCAGAATACGGTTGTGACGTGAGTACACCTTGAGCGGGCAATGAAGAGGGAGGCAAGGTTGTAGTAGTCCCAGCACCGGTGAGAGCAACGCCTGATTGCGGTGCCAAACCGCTTATAGAAGTTGTACCCCCTACAACATTAGATGGTAACGGGATACTTGATGCGGCACCAGAAGGGAGATTTGTTGTACTGGTTTGTATTTCATGTAGTGCAGCAGGATCTAAAACCTTTAATTCAGCCTGAGCCACGCGAAGAAGTTCGACCAAAGTATTTGTATCCCTTTCTCGTCTTTGCAAGAGTTCTTTTGACTTTTCAAGCTCATTTTCTACCATTTCTTGCCTTTCTTTTGCAATTCGATATTCCTCTTTCAGTTTAGCTTCACGACTCTGCATGTGCTCTGGAGTAAGAGAAGCGTTAGAGAAGCTGAGCAAATCTAACAAGCGAGAGTTTTGATCCTCTGCCATCATGAGCTTTTCCCGAAGCAGACCGATCTGCTTTAATACACTTTCACGAAACTCACGATAGGGTGTAGAACCCGTACGATACCAGAAATCTTCCGCAAACCTTTCTTTGTCTCCTGCCATAGAGACATATTCATCTTGATACCAACATCGAACGACAGCATCAGTACCACAAGACCAGATGCAGAACCGTTGGAGTTCAGATGGCCCAACAAGAGCCGTAATACGAGTACCTCGGTGACCTTCTATTTGTTGCAACAATCGTCCATCCTCTGCATCAAATACGGCAATAATACCATCAGCACCACCAGAGTATACTCGTGATCCAATCTTTCGCAATGAGGCTACACGGCCACCGTGTGCCTGCAGGACCCGTAGCGCCTCGCACGTGCCTAACTTCCATGCAATGACACGCCCGTCATCATCGCCAGACCACATCGTCACGCCAACGCGGCAGAGAGCCGACACACCAGCTCGGCCATGAAAGTGGCCTGTCAGCTGTGCCTCACCACTTCCCGCATCCCACACACGCACAGTGCAGTCGTCAGATCCACTCACAACTGCACTCCCCTCCGCGTATAGGCAACGCACATAGTTGGTATGGCCATGTAGCATACGCACAAGACGTCCATCCTCTGCGTACCACTGTGCAATCTTGAAGTCGCTACTGCCTGAGTATACATAACCCCCAAACTCAGCAAGACAGTAAACACCACCAGCATGTTTCGCCAGTCGTTGTACCATACGAAAAGACTGGGCATCATACACCTCAATACTTCCGTTAGAGAGACCCATCCACACTTGTGAACCTTTACTCTGTGTCATTACGGCTTGGAGCGACCATACACTAGAGTCATTTTTGTCGTTAGATAGAGTGATATCCCATCCATGTACAGGTTCAGCCGTACGTGTATTGCGCACCTCTGCGCCATTTAGGAGCGCCATCCAAACATGATGACCGCATGTAACCATTTTTTGTGGTGCGGATGCGGTGTCAAACACCTTATCAATCTCTCCAAGAGTTCGAACATATTTTGAATATTCTTGCGACTGTTTAAGCATTATTACGATGTCACTGCAAATATATATATATATATATATATATATATATTCCTGACCTACAGTGCTACGCCCCTAGAAAGTAGTAGTTCGGAAACAAATAATAAAAAAAATTAGACAAGGGCGAATGATATAGAAGAAAAAGGTCATAAATTCCAGCATTATTAAATATTTGTCATTACATGTGTATCCGAAAAAATAAAAAAAAAGGATTACAACAACAATAACAATAACTAAGAAAAAAACAAAAGCAGTCTATATGACGGTCTTCCTGAAATTAAGAGGAACCACTTTGGGCTACTCGTATCAGTGTTTCTTCGGAAGAAGAATCTCTACTGGAACATCAGTAGTCGAACGTGACTTCCCCAAACCAGCAAAACGTGACTTGATATTGGAAGACGTTTTTCCACCTGGGGGTCGTGGTCCTGTTGGAGATGGTACCTTTGCCGTTGGTGGTTGCGGTACTGTAGAAGCTGGAGGTGGAGCTGGAACACTTGCCGTTGGTGGTTGCGGTACTGTAGAAGCTGGAGGTGGAGCTGGAACATTTGCTGTTGGTGGTTGCGGTACTGTAGAAGCTGAAGGAGGAGCTGGAACATTTGCTGTTGGTGGTGGCGGCACTGTAGAGACTGAAGGATGATGTGGAGCTGGAACACTTGATGTTGGTGGTGGCGGCACTGTAGAGGCTGAAGGATGATGTGGAGCTGGAACACTTGATGTTGGTGGCTGTTGAACTGTTGAAGCTGAAGGAGGAGGTGCACCAACAGCAGGAAGGGCATGCATTGATGTGTTTACAGGATTAACAACAGCAGAAGGTAGTGGCGCCGATGCGGTCGATGATGACACTCCAGGGACACCCAAAGACATCTGTATTGTCGTTCCTACTACTGCTGCAGCACCAGGAACCAGACCACCTGTGGTAACTGCCTGTTGTTGTTGTTGTTGTAGGATAGTTGCAGCGAAGTTTGAGTCAACGTTCGTACTCCCTGTCATTTGACTCGGTACGCCTCCCGCACGAATTTTCTGAACTGCTTCTAAAGTCTTTTGAAGAGCTGCCCGAATTGCTGATAGATTCTGTTCCTGCTTCTGTACTTCTAGCTGTATACGAAAACGTTCATCTTGAAGTTCCCGCGTCGCCTTCTCAGTTTTACGCTTTCGCTCTTGTAACATCCAACAATTAAGAAGAGTTGAATTTTTCATTTCTTCACTCATCTCTAGCATATTTCGTACTGCTTGCTCTCCTCCCTGAGTAAGTGTAACTAATTCTGCTAACTCACGTTGTTGTTTCAACAATCGTTCATTACCCTCAAGATGTGATTGGACAGTAGAATAATACCAGCGCATATCATTAAAACGTTCACGATCTTGGATCATTGGACGAAATTCATCATGATGCCAACAACGAACAGAGTTATCGGACGTACCTGTCCAAACACTATATCGACTACACTCCCATGCACATTGCACAGTAGCGATACGACCTCCAGAGTGATCTTCTATTTGTTGCAACAATCGTCCATCCTCTGCATCAAATACGGCAATAATACCATCAGCACCACCAGAGTATACTCGTGATCCAATCTTTCGCAATGAGGCTACACGGCCACCGTGTGCCTGCAGGACCCGTAGCGCCTCGCACGTGCCTAACTTCCATGCAATGACACGCCCGTCATCATCGCCAGACCACATCGTCACGCCAACGCGGCAGAGAGCCGACACACCAGCTCGGCCATGAAAGTGGCCTGTCAGCTGTGCCTCACCACTTCCCGCATCCCACACACGCACAGTGCAGTCGTCAGATCCACTCACAACTGCACTCCCCTCCGCGTATAGGCAACGCACATAGTTGGTATGGCCATGTAGCATACGCACAAGACGTCCATCCTCTGCGTACCACTGTGCAATCTTGAAGTCGCTACTGCCTGAGTATACATAACCCCCAAACTCAGCAAGACAGTAAACACCACCAGCATGTTTCGCCAGTCGTTGTACCATACGAAAAGACTGGGCATCATACACCTCAATACTTCCGTTAGAGAGACCCATCCACACTTGTGAACCTTTACTCTGTGTCATTACGTTTAACAGAGACCAAATTCGTGTAACACTAGTTGGACGCGGAGCACTTGCAAAACGATGGACAAGCTCTGCTGTATAAATATCACGAATCTCTACGCCACCATCAGATGTTGCCAACCAGACACGGTCTGTGGTTACAGTCATTGCTACAACAGGTGACTGAACTGGAAACACTTTCCCCTCGGGTTTAAGATTTTGTGTGGGATCTATGTCAAGTAACATTGATTTTGAAGTATTTGCTTACCTGTCTAAAAATAAGATAAGTGATAAATTATATCAATTTATGTTTTTTTTTTTTTTTTCTTTCTATACTCACCTTCTATATTTTTCTTTTCTATTCAGGTTCTCGCTATGAAACTCTATGGTGTGCTTTTTTTTTTCTTTCAGTGTGACCTATTGACAGACAGAAAAGCCTCAAATATATTTTTCTATCTAGAAAGAATAACAATAACAAAAGATAATTGAATGATATAGAATAGAAAAAAATAGAACAGGAAAGAGAGAGAGAAAAAAAAATTCAGAAAGCAAGCAGATGATAAAGAAAAAAGCATTAAAAACCAGAAGTACCATAACAAACACTGTAGTAAGGTCAACCTCACAACCACTCAAAAACCAATAGCACCCAATTTATAGGTGGTATATTGTAACGCTGTGTTATTCTTCTTTTTCATTGGTACTGTTCATTTTCATCACTTTTTCGTCTTTTTTTTTTTTTTATAATAATCCATCCATGTTCGACTTAGAAACGTCGAAGATTTTGCGGATTCATCCCACTTCCGTGTGTAGCTCCACCCTCTAATGTTGCTGCTGTATACTCTTCATCCCACCGTGGATCATCACAAGTGCCACGGTCTTTTCGTACAACGACTAATATACGCACTGGGTCTACCACTATAAGTCCCACACGTCCGCGTCTACACAACTCTGGTGCGATGAAGTAACGTGTAGTCTTGAGAGCTGAGAGAGAACCTAAAGTATGGGGATTACTATAAAGAACAAAGTCATCAAGGACACCACGCATATGCAGAACAGACAGCAACAATTGCTCTGCCTCATATCTACATATGCTAAGCAACTTTCCTCCAAAGTACCGAAGGATTTGATGATGGGAGGTACGAGTTTCATTCGGTAAATAACGGGGAGGTGGACGCTGTTTTGCACGACGTAATGTTTGGAGAATAGCAAAAAGAAATAATTCATCTTCTTCTTCTGTACAATCTTGTACACCCAAAAGAGCTCCTGTAAAATCTCCATGATTAATATTATCACAGAGTGTAAGGTATTCACTTGGGGAACGAATAGCAGGACCACTATTATTACCACTTTTTCTACTACCAGAATCTACAGAAGGATTCATATTAGGGTCATTAGTATCACATGTTAATAACAAAGGACGTAAAACTCTTATTTGTAAAAGTGGTGTTACTTCTTCTTCTCCCCATCCATAATTATTATTTTCTAATTCTTCATCAAGGGTAAGAAGAGAAGAAAAAATACCTTCAGACCCACAATTTTTTTCATATTCACGAAATTGCCAATCTCTTTGTGCATCCAAAGCATATAATCTTCGTTCCATTTTCATTCGTTCATACATACTACAGGAAGATGGGATAAGAAACTCTGTACAAAGAAGTCTTCCATCACCTCGTAAATCCTGCATATCTTGATGAAAATACTCAATTTGAGAACGCCATATATTATCTCTTCGATGTAAGAGATGCCAAAGTGTACGACACGTACTACTTACTAATTGAACATCTCGAAAATTAAGAAAAGAGGTAATAATATCCCAAGTATCACCTGGAAGACCTCTGAGCATAACAGAACTGCAGTTTCCATTCAGTTGTTTTTGTGTTTGCTCATCTACTTCTTCTATTTTTGGTAATGTATTAATACCATATATCAGTTCATTGCTCTCAATACTGCGGTGATCTGAATGAGAACCACGTGCTTTTTCTGCCCACGACATTTCTCTATCTTCTACTGTTTGAAAGTTTTTCTTTAATCCACCAGATCCTCCTCTTTTACCTCTAGCCAAACGTCACAAATACAAAAAAAAAAAAAAAAAAGGATCTCCTTGTAGTTAATAATGACACTCTCTATCTATTTTTCTTTTCTTGTTGCTCCCCCTTTTTACCTACGCCTAGTAATGTAGTTTCTTCTTGTCCCACAGCAAAGAAAGCGACACTAACACGCAGTCACTCTTCACACTTGCCAGGGCTGATGTATTATTTACCATAAGAAAAACCACAAAATAATAAAAAGAAAGAATGATAATTTAGAGTGAGAAATATAAATAAAAAAAATACAATCAAGAAACCAATCATAATTACCTCTCTCTTCCTCTTCAAATCATGTAGAATAAAGACTTAAATGAAGTAATGAATAAGAAAACACAGATATACACACACACACACAGAGACATAAGAATAGAAAAAGAAAAGAAATACAGAAAAATTCTTTCCTTTTCTTGTCCTCTCTTCTTCTTCTTCAGTGACGCTATTAGAAATTCCAATATGAATATTCAAAAAGTGTTGGATGCAACACTCGTGTGTCTTGAGTAATCTTTAGTATAATGAACCAGCCTCTCCCCATTTTTTTTTTTTAATTTCACTTTTGATTTCTTGTTTTTTCGTTGGTATTTCGCATTTCCAGTTTAGTACCAACAATTACAAAAATTATCCCCACAAACATGGTCATCGCCCTGTAAGCCAAGGGCCTGGGAAAATAATAAGAAAAAAAAAAAAAAAAAAAAACCATAATAATTACTATTATATATATTAAGAGAAAGACAGAGGGATTCCCTCTTTTTTTTTTATTTTTCGTTTTTTTTTTTTCCTTTTCCTTTCCTTCTTTTTCCCCCACACTAAGAGAGTTACTACTCCTCCTCCTCCTCCTTTTCCTCCTCCTCCTTCTTCTCATTCTTAGATGCGATTAAATCCTGGAATACCTGTTGGTGAATCCCGCGGTGCCAACTGTCGTCTTTTCAACGTGGCTGTTGGGCGGTACCGGTTCGCAATGTGATGCCATTTATACCAAAGCTGCCTGTACACACGTGGACGGAAAACACTATTCACTTCAGTGGAATGAAGACCAGCAGAGAAGGGAACAGGTAAAGAACGTTCTGCTGTGATGTTTTGTAAAGATTCCTCTTCTAAATATTTATGTAATTCCTCTGGTAAGAGTTTCTGATCTTCACGTAGATATAATGCGGCACGTATTTTAGCTTCCGCTTCCTCTTTTTCTTTTTCATCCATATCTTTGTGAATAGCCATACCCCCTTCTTTAATTTCCTTTTTCATTTCTTCCACTTCACTTTCATAAGGACGTCCTTTATAGACATCTACTTCCCATTTATCTTCATATCCCTGTACACCGTGTTCTGCGGCCAGACGGATGAGATTACTCGCCTCACGAGGTCGCATATTTCGAATAAGACAATCATGATAAAACTTTACCATTGTCGGATGCATTCGACGATCCTCACGTAGCATTTTATCGAGCAACTTGCTCGCTTGTTCCCATCTATTAAAACCAGGAATCACCATTGTAATAACAGCAGAATTATGCATGGTATCTGTTGAATCAAACCCATTCACTTCACATGCTTCAAGAGCTTCTAAGGCTACACGCCAATGTTGTATCTTTTCTAAACGATGATTAATTTTAAAATCATAATTCCAACCATGATCAGCATTAGCCATACCATTAACAATATAATAATAAGTGGCTCCATTTGGTTGTATACGGTCTTCCTGCATAGCCCGCATCACTCGTACAATCTCTAATGCCCTTCCCCACATAGATTGTGAGAAGAGAACCGTATTGTAATGTTCTTGTGTGAGTCGATATCCAACCATTCGACCTTTAGAAGCAAATAACATTGTTTTTTGCCAAGAGGTTGTCCTCGACATGCGACGGAGAACACGAAGAAACTCCGTAGGGTCACGGCGCACGGGGTCAGTCATGGTGAAGAATGTCTTGGATTACTTCTATTCATTACAAGTCACCCGAAAATAAAGAAGGAAAGAAATAAAGAAATATTGGGATATATATATATATATATATATATATTAGAGAAAACGGGGGAGAGAGAGAGAGAGAGAGAGAGAGAGAGAAAAAAAAAGAGACCTATGAAGTAAATAGCTATATAAATAAATAGATATAGAAACCCATAAAATGAGTGTATCCAAGAAAAAAAAAAGAAAAATCATAGGGATTTTAAATAAGGGAAATATTAAATATAAATATATATACGCAATACTATGTACTTCTCCAAGTTTTACTCCCTCACGTTCCATTCATATTCAACAAAAAAAAGGGGTATAATCTATTTATCTTATAACTTGGAAAGTAAGTAACCTGGAATTGGTCCTAGTAACGCCCAAAATAAAAGTGGTTGAGGATCTATAAAGGTCTTTTCCTTCCCACCTCTTCGTTGTAACCAGGATGTCATTAATGCAGTTACCTCAACGGATCGATAAGCATGATGATCTGGTGTATTCAATACATACTGATGGAATTTTTCACTGGGACTTTTAAATAGAAACGATGGAAATGTTGCCTTCACACGATGAAGTTTTTGCCGGTTTTTCCATTTCATTTCTGGATAAAGTGGTAAAAACAGCATGCGTTGTGCAAGAGCTTCACACTGAGGACAATCAGGAAGAAGAACAACTTCACGTAGCGTCAATGAGTCCAGTTTCCACTTTGAAGAACTATTATTATTACTGTCGCTACTAATACTACTACTATTACTATTACTACTATTAGTAGTATTATTTCTTTTCCCACTATCGCTATTATTCTTATTATTACTATTATTGCTCTTCTCATCAAAAAAGGTATATCCACTATGCCAGAGATGAGTAACGGCAGCCACAGCATCAAATCCTGCAGTGTGTAGAGCCTGAGCTGCGAGATGAGGTGATCGCACACGTAATATGATATTATCAGAGTACCCCATTACGCAATTCCACGGTGTATGGGGTTCTCCACAGGAAACAACTTCCACATCATTGCGAATATATGAAAGAAATTCCCAAAGAGAGAAACACTCTTTTTCCACACGTCTTTGCATAGTAAGAGCAGCATTCATCATCCATATAATAACTGCACGATGTGGTTTTGAAAAGGTAAAAAGATCCTGAGTGTTATTGGACATGGAAGAACTATCACTATGATGATTATTATTATTACTATCATTCTTCTCAGAGATTGGAGGAATCTGCATCTCTACTACTCGTGGTTTCATTATGAATTCAAATATTTTATCAGCATTTGTAATAGTACTTTGGTTTACTACTTTCTTCTTCGTCGTTTTCTTCTTTTCTTTTTCTTTTTCTTTTTCCTCCTTCTCTATTTCTTCTTTATTTTGTAATTGTTCTTGTGGAGTATTTCCTCCTCTATGCATCCACATTGTAGCTGTATCTATTGCATGTGCTATCATAGACCATAACTGTACAGCTTGCAATACAAATTGAAAACTCATTCCATCTGATAATAATAAGTGAGCAATATGTCTTGTTAACATAACCCATTGTCTTTGAGTGGCCGCTGGTGAACGTTTTTGTAATTGTGAAAGTATTCCTTGAGCTAATAAAGGATCTATTGTAAATGCCACTGCCCCACCTATTTCACCTGCGGCATCCATACAAGTGATATGCATATCCGCTTGCATATTCATACGATTTTCTTTACTCTCTTCAGAGGAAGTTAATGTGATTGCCTTTACAGGATGTAATTCTACCGTTAACGCGTGAAGTTCATGACGGGCAAAGTGAACCATACGATCTGCATTTATAAGAAATCTTCCACCCATTCCAATCAATAAAACAAGAGGTCGACATCCTTTACTCTCTGATGTGGTTTCTTTCTTTTTGGATGAAGTAAGAAGACCAAGTTTTAATGCTTTCTTTCGAATATCATTTTCATCTGCAGTCATAGTTACCGTATCCACATCATATCCCACTACACGCAACATCCATCGATCAAAGAGTTGCAGAAGATAAAAATATGGATGAAGTAATAATCCCGGTAGAAATACAGTAGTTCCCTGCGAAATACAAAGATATCGTAAGAGGGCATCCATCATACTAACTGTACTATCACTCACAAGAGCCACTTGACTTCCTGGATAGAGACACTGTGTGAGTTGGAGATCTACATCTACAGAAGATTTCTTATCTATAGAAGAATTGTTTAACTTTTGTGGAGTACGAACAGCCTGTTTGACAGCGGATAGTACTCTATTATTTATAGTGAGACTACTGCGAAGAACTCTCTTTGGCCAAATGGAACCCAAAGACTCCATTGTACGCAAACATACAAGCAGTGTAGAGTGGGCACGTACACGTGGATAACAATATAGTCTTGGTGGACGACACTGCTGCAATGTACATTTCACCTCCACTGCTTCTTGAGGAGTAATAGAAGGTTTCGTTATAGAAGTATGAACAACTTCTTTACCTTTTCCTCCCCTGGTAGCAGCATTATTATTATTATTATTTTTCTTATTATCTGCTTGTAGAGTCATAATTATTTTTATGTATTTCTTTTCTTTTCTTTTTTCTTCTTCTTTTCCCTCGTGAATATGGGGAAAAGAGGAAAAGTAAAAAAAAAAAAAATAAATCAAAAGTACCAAAACAAGAAAAAGATAATACGATAAAGAAAGAAAAATGGATATATATATATATATATATACATAGAGAGAGTGTGTGTGTGTGTATGTTAATAATGATAAGAGAATATAATATTCAACTTTGAAGAAATCAATCTGAGACATACTCCACACGTACTGGACTTTTCTTCACCCTTACGAACGTTTATCTAACGTCCCACAATGAAGTTTCACCAGCAATGAAAAAGATACAGATATATATATATATATATATATATATATATATTCCATTTTAACTACTTATATACATAGAGTCCCATACTCTACACAAGCACCAGGTAAACAAGAAGAGCAGCTACTAATCCTAGCCGCATCCACAAAACAACAACGTACACGCATAGTACACACACAGAGAGAGAAAAATACAAACAGAAAGACAATATCAAAGAGCAAGAAATAAAGACAAAATAACAACAACAACATCAACGTCAAAAAAAAAAAAAGAAAAAGAATGAACAGAACAATGTCGATTTCTTCACCATTTGTTTTTATTTGATGCTCTACGATGCCGTTGTTGCCGTGGGTTCACCAGTATCAATAACTTCTCGTGCCACATTCGTTACTGCAACTCCTTGTGCATTAGCCCGTTCTGTTTCCTCCTTGATACGTTGAGATAATTGTCTGTTAGACCGTCTGTAGTAACCCAATTCATCCTGCCAAGCTTTATTCCGTGCAATATTTTCTTCTTCAATAGCACGTCGTAATTGTTCTTCTCGTAAAGAAGCTGTTTTTCGCTTTACAATTAATTCCGCCTTTTCCTTTTCCAATTGTGTAATCCGTTGACGAAGTTCATCCATACCTTTCAGGGCTTCTACTCGTTGTTTAGAGGCATAATACATCGCCCGTTCTGAAAGAGAACGATGGGCCGCTAAACTTTGATAAAGTTCATCACGAACACGTAAGAGTAAAATACCTCGTACAGGTTCTTCAAGTGTTATTTCTCTAATTAATTCATCAAACACCTCTGCATATATTTCTCGTCTAATTGGACATATTCCACTGTTTCGAGCGGCACGTTCTTGTAATCGTTGAATCAATCGTTGATGTAATTCCGCCACCTCCACACGAGAAGAGGGTTCCACAGAGACAAATTGCATAATTGTTTCTCCTGTTTCTTTATTAACAGTTTGTTTGGGTGGAAGCATAGTGTAGAGAAGCCGTTCAACATCTGAGAGTTTGGACATTAGTGCAGGAAGAACAGCACCACCTGGATAAGATAAAGATCCTTTATTATTACTTTCCTCTACACTAGCAGCCTTTGCAACTGCAGGAGATGCGGCAGAATATTGTAAAGTAGAAAGTTGCCACATAGTTTTCTCTTCATTTATAAAAGTACCCGCCGCGTAATTCTGCTGTGTTGATCGTATTGTCGTTTTTGTAGTTTTTGTAGTTACAGTTGTGATTACTCCTTTTTCTTTTTCTCCTCCTGGTGTTGTCTTCCGATGGGAAGAATCCAATCTCCTCACTGTTAACATCCCACCTTCTTCTCCTTCTCCTTTTCCTTTTCCTTCTTCTGGATATATAGATGGAACTGTAGCGGCGTTTTTCTTCGCATCTGCTAGACGAGAAACTGGAATAGAAACAGTACGTTTTGTCTGTTTGGTATCCTCACCATTACTATTCTCACCTGTTGTGGTATTGCCTTTAATGACTTGAGTTTGCAATTTCAGTAAGGAGTCCATTTCTAATCTAATACACTTCTACCACCACTACCACTACCACAACAACTACTACTACTTCCCTTTTTCAGGTAGGTAATGGAAGTAACAGTCCTTCCTTTCCAATAAACACGCGGGGGT